TATTGCTGAGGGAAATGTCAGAGATTTTACTGCCTATGTTTTCTTCTAGGATTTTCATGGTTTTAATCATTTAAAGTTTAGTCTTAAATATGGTGTAGGAAGTCAGTCTAGTCTTACTTTTTGCATACATCTATATAATTTTCCCAGCACCACTTATTGAACAGACTGTCTTTACCCCAGTGTATGTTCTTACTTTCTTTGTCATAGATTTACTCACCACATAAATGTGGGTTTATTTCTGCGCTCACTGTTCTGTTTCATGAAAGCCTCAGAAAATTATTATAAAATAATAAAAATTTAAGTTGTTAAATGATTATGTAAATCATCTAATCAAAGCCCACAGTTTTAAAGATGTAGAATTGGAAACCCAAAGAAATAAGTGACTTGCCCTTGGGTCACCTAACCCAGTGCAAGAATCTAAGGCGCCGATGACATTAGGGCTTAAAGGCTGCACTGCTTGCTCGTATAGTGAGGGCGGCGTGCCCTGCGCACTGAGAGCCTGTCGTTTCGAGTTTGCTTTTTGTATCTCTCTGTCTCATTGTCATTTCTGTTTTTGGCTGGACTCTAAAGTCCCCTTATTTTTCTACATTTTACGCCTGTCATTCGCTTTGATGAAGAAACAAATTAATTAGTGTGGACTAGGCTTAAAATAAAGAATATGTAGGCTTTGAGTAGAGGTGGAGAGGCTCTGCTGTGAATAAGATGCCTGCCCTTTAATACCTGCAGTTTGGTATATATTTTGGACTCTCCCATAGTCATGGATGGTGGTGGGAGTTGAGGGAATTCTAGGCTAAGCATCAAGTTATCAGTTTTCTGAAAAATTAAAATCCCTAGAAAAGTAAACTACATACAGATAAAAGTGAGACATTGTTACATTAACATTTGGATAATGCAAAAATTAAACATTGAAAATGAATGAAGCTCACATGACCACCAATAAAAAAAAATCCAAGAGTAACTAGTCCAAGAAGTAACTAAATTTTGAGGTTCTAATATGTTCATTTAGAACTAAAACATAGATATTAAACAAAGAAGGTAGTCTGTCAATTCATCTTGTAGTAATTGACAAATAAGCAAATTAATTTTAGGAGTCTAGGTAAAGTCTATTTGACTCTGTATATAAGGCATCCAGTTTGGAAGAATTCCTATTCAAAAGGATATTTTATTATCATAGTGGTAATCTCCAGTTTCCCCCAACATTTGCCCACATGCTCACAAACACATGCAGTCAGAAAGATGGATGTAGCTCAGGTTCTGGAGGATTTAACAATAATCATCATTGATTTTTCTGGGACATAAAGCATTAGACTGCCAAAATCGTGGGGTAAGGACATTATTAAACCATAACACATAATCAAATAGCCAGACTTTATGGGAAGCTCTTTGAAAATATACCCTTTGGGTTATAATCACCACGCATCATTCAGAATCTCAGCAGTGATTTATGGTTTTCTTTTGTTTTATTTTTGGTGTGATAGCACCCATTTTATTTTTGTACCAGCTAATATTTGTTGTAAGCAAATTCATGATTATACATTTCTTAGAACTCACAAGAAATGCCTTTAACCTTAATTTTGCCAACTGTGTATTAACACCTAATACTAGCATTACAGTAGTAAGATGATGTAATGATAATGACAGTGCTGTAGACAGTAACTTATTATGGCACCTTGTATATGCCAGACATTGTTCTAAGCAATTTACATATGTACACTCACTTGATGATAACTCGGGGAAATGGGATTTAACCAGTAGGTGCTTCCTGACAAGTCTCCCTGTTCTTGTATGTCTTCCCCACCAGATTGTATGGCTCCTCAAAATCAACCATTAAGGAAGCATTTTAAAGAGCTGAAGCTGGGACAGGGAAATGGTTTAGGTCCCAGTCTGTTCCTGTTCGAGCTATTGTCTCTTAGTTTCAAAGCCACCCTTCTGTACGTACTTTGTAACACTGGTGCTGAACTGTATTTCTTACTTCTCTTTTTAAGATACTTCCCACTCAGTTCTGAGAATAGGAAGCACTACAGGGAGAGCAGGCAGAAGGAAAACGGAAGGGACCATGCCATTCTAAGGCTATTCTCGTAGGAGGATTGTCCTGATAATGACCCTCAACTTTACAGGCAGTACATGTCCCAGGCATTGTCCCCTTCTTAAAGGTTTGGGCGCCGGCTTCGTGGAAATCTTTCCCAAGATGATAACCCCATCACTTTCCTTTTCTCCCCTACCCCTAAGGAGGGTAGCTGTTTCTTGATCTGAATTGTACTTGCTACCAGAAGATTCTGAGATTTACTTGGTCATGTCCATGCCCTTTAATGACCACTGATATTTTTTCCAGTGGGGAATGAGATAGTAGTAATTCATAATATGAAATTACATCACATTTAATTACAATTATTGCTTCTTGTTGGCTGTAATGAAATATCCTGAGAACCAAGTGTTTTCAAACCTTAACTTTTACAGTAGTTGTGACGACTGTAAGAGCTGTGGGTAGATGGCCTCTCCGGACTGCACTGGAGAATCCAAAGACAGAAAAGTACAAGTTCGTGGCTTTTAATTCTGAGTTCAGGTAATTGAGGACAAAAGAGTTTTTATGGCACTCTCAAAAGAATTTCTCATTCTTGTACTTGCAGGGCTGGCTTCTTATAAAAAAGTAGAGGCATATTTTAATTACCATATGTTGCCATGTATAATGCACACTTTTTGCCCAAAGTTTTGAGGGAAAAATAGCGATGAGCATTATATATGGGTAGTGCTAATTCCTTATCTATATAAATGTTTTTAATTCTTTTATTTATGCTTATGTGTTAAAAGTGTAAATCTAGAAAGCAATAATGATATCCATATGCAAAATAATACCCTGGAATATGGTAATTGGTTTTGTTTCTAAATATAAATAAAAATTGAGTTAAAAAATTAAAATATTTTTTTCCTGAAAGTTGGGGCCAAAAGCGTGATTGCACATTATACACTGCAAAATACGGTGTGCCGACTATAGAATTATAACACTTGCCATGCCTCTCATGAGAAAGGACACAAGTTGGGAAGGAAAGGGAGGCTGGAGCTTGTATGGTGACATCTGAGGGGACTCAGACAATGCCGAGAATCTGAGAGCTCCAAGGCTTTCTGAGACTTTCTTAGCCATGGAAGCAGTCTACCTTCCTGGATGTGAGAAGACTCTCTGGCAAGTCTTCGGCAATTCTACCAGGTAGAGAACTCCAAACCAACTAGCTGAGGTGCTGACTGAGAAATAAGAGAGTAGAAGAAAGCTATTTATAGCAACTACAGTCATGTAACTAATTATAGAAATGGGGGCTATGGAAGTTATACATATTTTATTCCTTGCTTGCTAGTATTTTCTTCGAGGTAAAGATAGCTCTGTCTATAAAGATCACATAGATATTTAGACATATCGATACTTGATGGCCTGGGTATGATTCTCCTGATTTTGAACAAAATTATCTTCTCTGCCCCTTGATTTCTCATCTTTAAATGGAGATAATAGTAGTTTGTCCTTTACCAGTTTGTAAGCAAGATCGAAATGGAAGGATCTTTATTTAGAGCACAGAGTCTGTAGACTTTCAATCTGTAGATTAAAATAGTACAAAGAGATTTGGTCATGAAGTTAATTAATAGGGAAGTAGGATGCAGATTTGAGTCCCCTCACCCTGAGCAGAATGCTGTTTTGCTATTTCTATTCAAATCTACTTCGTTTGGCTGTAGAATTTTGCCGTTTCCTGGGTCAGAGCAAGAGCAGTAATTCCGAACAGCTCTTTCTGGGTGAGCACTGAGGGCAGTCTCAGTGATGTTAAGGCCCAGGAAGCGCCAGTGAGGGGCTATGGATTTGGACAGATTCATGCTGCCTCGTACCCCTCCTTGCCATTTCCCTCGGGCTGTTCTGTAAGTGGGACCGCGGCTAGAGGTGGGTTCAGGAAGAGCTGCCATGGGGGAGAGGACGAACTGTCTCATTTTTCAGGTTTACTGAGGTATAATCGACAAGTTAAATTCCAAGATATTTGAAGTGCACACATGATGATTTGATACACATATGCGTTGTGCAGTGATTTCCCTCATTGATTTAATTAACATATCCATCACCTTACATACTTGTACTTCCTTTTTGTTCTTTTTGGTGAGAATATTTAAATTCTCTTCTCAGTTGATTTCTTTTCCTTTCAGTGTTGCTGGTCATCTTTTCCTTGCATCTTTGCATTGTTGGTTAGGTTCCGCTTATAGGTGAGATCATATGGTATTTGTCTTTCGCCCAAATCAACAGAGACAAGAGGGAAGGGGGGGGCAGGGAAAGGGAAGGGAAGGGGAAAGTCAAGGAACATATAGCAAGGACTCATGGGCAAAACCAAAGGGGAAGAGCTGAGGGAGGGAAGGAGGGAGGGGGCAAGGGAAAGAGGTGGGGGAGAGGCAGAGACAAATATATTTAAAAAGTAAATAAATTTAAAAAAAATAAATAAATTCTCTTCTCAGATTTCAATACAATATTACAACTATATTCAGCGTGTTGTATGCTAGCTCCCCGGACCTTATTTATCTTAAAACTAAAAGTATGTAGAGTTAGTAGAAAGGAGATGAAGGATTGACTATTTGGATACAAACTCAAATCTTTTTTTTTATTGTTGTTCAATTACAGTTGTCCCCATTTCCCCCCCACCTCTCTTTCCTGCCCCACTCACCCCCCACCTCTCACGTTCAGTCCTCCCCCGACCCATCGTCTTTGTCCTTGGGTCTTCTCTACACGTTCCTTGACTTGACTCTTCCCCTTCTTTCCTCCGTTACCCACTCCCCGCGACCCCCTGGTCACGGTCAGTTTGTTCTTTATTTCCACGTCCCTGGTTCTATTTTGCAGAGCTAGGTGACCGAGCGTGGCCTTCCCCCATCTTGCATCTGTTAGAATCTCCAGGACACTACCACTGGGGTAGAGGTAACCACCTCATTTCTCTGTACTTAAGAAAGCTCTGCTCCCAGCTTTATTAGACAGCCAGATAGCCATGTTCATTGTTGTTTTATTTAATGGTATACTCAGAAAGGTAGAAAATACAAGATATAACCACAGTCATAATTCACAAGGTTTCCTTATAATCACTATTTTTTCCTATAACTTCATGGAATTATAATGAACATACTATTTTAAAAGGAAAGCTTAACAAGATAAAGCAATGTTGTATTGCAGTCCAGCTAAAGCTATGTACATATGCATACATAATTTATAATCTATGTATAATTCATATGTATATAAACACCATACTTTATTGAGGTAAAATAGCACAGCAAGGTTAAAAACAAATGGCTAAGCTCAATATGGGCTTTACAGTGCCACTGAAAGCCATTTTACTAGCATAAAGGCCTCCAACATGCTGCTGTTAACCTACTGACAAATATTTACACTATTTATATTTTGCTTTCTTGAAAACTAAGCCAAAATAAATATATTTTAAGGCAACCTTTGGAATTGTCAGCCTTCCTTATTTTATCTGTATTGCGGTATAAGCTACTCACAGTGACAATTAAAATATTGAACAAGGAAAAACAAAGATTGGCAGATTCACCTTGAATCAATCTTATCTTCTTATACATTTTTTTCTCTAATGTACACCAAAGTCATATTTTATTAAATTTATTGGGGTGACATTGGTTAATAAGATCATATAGGTTTCAAGTATATATTTCTGTGATACATAATCTGTATATTGCATTTTGTGCCACCATCTAAAGTCATATATTTTAGCAACCTTCAACTCCCAATTCTGAGGAGTGATATTATTGCTTTTTGGTTCATATCTGCTTACTGAAAGCTATACGTTACAGATTTTCAATTTCGATTTCACATTCGGAAAGCATGTTCATCTACACATGTCTTAGTGCTATTTAAAAAAAAAATCAGAAAATGAGAACTTATATAAGACAGGGTGTCCTGCCTGCAAGCTATTCAACACTGCTGCTCACTTCCATTGTGTCTTTGGAAAGATAAACTATCCAGTATACAAGGTTGAATCCTGCAAATGCGACTGGAAAGAGAATCCGAGAATACTGATCTATTTTACTGGTGCCTCCGAAGGCTGGAGAGAGCGGCGGGGGCGTGATGGGCGTGGATGGTGAGGGGGGCGCGCGGAGGGCTTGGCTGACCTCAGAGGGTGGGACTCTTGGCAAGCTCAGGGTGGTGATTCTCTTCTTCAGGCGATACTTGGAGTCCGGATGCTGTGGGGAAAAGACAAAGATATTCAGCCTACATACAGAAGAGAGATCACTTATTTAGATTCATTTTTTTCATTATTGATGTCTATTTATTGACTATTTAACTAGTGTGTAAGACAAAATATCAGCAAATTCTTGCAGTATTTGATGGTGTTACTTTTCCAAGAAAGCAGTGAAGTAATTTGAAACAATTTTTTCAATTGACTTGCTTTCATCCAACATCCTATAATTTAATTCAGCAGCAATTAAATCATACACATGTTCCATGTCCCAGAAACTATGTTGAGCATTGTACCACTAAGATGAGCCAGGGTGCAAAGCTTTTATCTACTCCCTGGTTATGGTTAAAACCTACAGGGCAGTGAGTTTGGGCAATGAGAGGGGATTTCAATTTGGAGTGTGTAGATAATTAGTTGATATAAGAAAATAACAGCTTAGTTAATTGATATCATTCTTCTAGATACATTCGTAGCTTCTATCACATTTGCACATCCATAAATTCGAACCACTGAGATTAAAGAACTATATATAAGGGTGCTCATGTGTGCTAAAAGCCAGTGACACAAAGTATAAAGCCCTTAGCCTGAGTAGGATGACTGTTGATCCCTTCAAGTATAGCTGCCCTCGGCTCAGAAGTTCTGTATTGAGAGCATTCTGCTTCCTACTCAGAAATTGTCCACTGGTTCCCTTCCACCTTAAATGACCAAAAAGCGATCCATTTACTAACCTCAGAATTGTTATATGCTCTTCTCTATCATTAAATTTTCTGTTCCACTGAAGTCATAAGACAATCAGTTTTAGTCTTGAAAGGGATATTTAGCACATGGGTGGATAGGCAAGAAAGCTGAGATTTAAACAGGGGAAAGCGTGCGCCCCCGAGTCACGCAGCGAGCTTCTTCCCCAGCTTGCCGCACCTTGAGAGAATCGGGCCTCAGGCAGAGACTCTGATTCTGTTTGCCTTAGATTCCTTTTATGCTATTGAAGACGAGGAGGCCTCTCTCTGACTCTTTCCTCATCTACGTCCTGTAAGAGTCACTCTCCTTATGGCCAGGCTGTCCTTACTTGGTCTCTGCCTTCAAACACTTGCTGTACATTATCCCCACTCTTGTAAAACTCCCTTGTTTCCTCCCTGGCAGCAAAACCACCACTTTGTTGCCTGGCAGGGCCTGTTACTCACGTGGGTGGACCCCCGTGGCTTTAGCCAGCAACCCTGCAGAAGCAGGGAGAGGCAGCCGCCGCCCCTGTGCTGGTCGAGCCACAGGACCGGAATGACCCACCGATGCGGTGACATCTGGACTGCAGGAGCCAGCAACCCAAACAGCCTCTTCTCCTTGTATTCCCCCTCTTGAATTTTGCTGTTTGGTTTGTTACTGAATATCTAAATAATAATGGTCCTCATAGGGAGTTCAAGCCCAGTGTGCTTTTAGGGGACATGGGAAAATAAATTTCTTCACCAAAAGCAAAAATGAACCTGTGAAGTCAAGTCTAGTTTGTTATGACCATGGTGAATTTCAAGCAAAGAATATCTTTGATATCTATTGGCTTAGTATTGCGCTAGGTACTCTGGACAGAACCAAATAAATTACAGGTCTTGGAGGTAGAAAATAATTTAAAATAGTAGAGGGACCAGTCTGCTGACCAAGGACAGAAACTAAGTGATATTTTCTATTAAAAGTATCTGACAGGGAAGGACTACTATGCCCAGGGTCACCAGACAGTGATTGTGAATAGAACCAGAGTAGTGGTATTTTGGTCTGAATGTACACTGTCTTATTTAGAGAGTAAGCGTAGTACCATCATACAGGAGCTTTCATCATGTTTCTCAGATTCTAATTTGAATTTCTATTCAGTAAATACGTAATTAATATATTCTTCACCTGACACAGCAAAATATGTCACTGTTTCATTCTCCGAGAAGTACCCTCCTGCCAGATGTATGGAAAGTTAAAATATTTCACTCTAGCAAAATTTCTAAGGATCACGATGAAGTTGAAAGAGGGCAAGCCTTCAGAGCAGATTTTCTTTCTAAATTTGTCTTGACTTTTAATAGCATGTGTTGCCTGTCTGGAACCTGTGGGGTTTTCTTTTTTTTAGGAAGAAAGGGTGCAGACATTAAAAACATTTATTAACATGAGAAAGTGACTGTAAAACATAATCTGCCTTAAAAATGTAAAGCATTAATTTATCTCCTTTTTAGAGGTGTGTGTGTGGGGGGGGGTGTTATTTGTCAATCTCTTGGCATTGTTACAATGTCAGAAATGACTTAAAATGAGGTTGCCAGATACTCCTCGTCCAGAGTTAAGTAACATCATTCAAGACCAAACACCATGAAAAATTTAAGCACATTGGCATTAGCCTGGAATTAAAGGTCCCCTACAATAGGATTCCCCCTTTCCTCATTCATTTTCCCAGTCTCTGTGGAGGGCTGCTTAAGAGTTAAGTCAGGAGAGACAGAAAGCTCTCATTTGCAGGTCTGTATATACTGCTCAGCTGCTATACAACTTAGACATGTCATAGATTTCATCAACTCTTCCCTCAGCTTCAATTTGCTATCTTTAAAGTGTTATTTTTCTTTTCCTTAGAAATTTGAGAAGGACTATGTTGTGTATATACAAACACACTTTGTGCAATTTTTACTTGCTTAGCTGCTGTAATTTTTTTTATCTATTATAACATACTTCCCTGTAAATTTTACTTCTGTTATGCGTTATCTCCTTTCCTGACATTAATGGTAGAGGGCATATTATTATCATGTATAAGTGCTCCACAATGCTTAGCCAGTGCATAGAACATAGTATATGCTTAGTAAACATATAGTAGATTAAAAAATTGAATGAAAATCTAAACATTTTTCAAGATTTCTTTCAGCAGTCAGGCAAAAAGAAAGGAACAAAACATCTTATGATTATGTTTGTTACATTATATCTTAGTATATTATTTTACATTACTTGATAGGTACCGTATCTGAATGCTTACTGTGGACAGGCACTGCACAGCACTTTTGCATGCATTATTTTGCTTATTCCTAGAAGGAATCTGTAACGTAATAATGTTATTTTCATTTTAGAGATGAACAAATGAAGGCTTAAGCAGGAAGCTTACAGAGCGATAATTGTCAGCACCTAAATTCAATCCCTCTTAGATTCCAAAGATCACATTCAATAATTATTGTTTCTTCCCATCAGCTTTACAATTTAGGGCACGGTTTTTCAACCACAGAACTATTGACATTTTGAGTAGGATAATCTTGTTGTGGGGGACAGCCCTGCACATCATGGGATGTTGAGTAGCCTCTCTGTCTTCTCTCCAGACCTTGCCAGTATCCTTTGCGGGAGGCAGTTCACCTACCGTTGAGAATCACTGTTTAGAGTTACAACTGTCCCACAGCCCAACGGTAATTGGAGGGATTTCTAGCAGACAGCAGATAAGATATGCTCAAGGAAATGCACGAAGCTTGGCTAACACACATGCTGGGTAATCAGCTCCCGCATAATTGGGAATTCACAGTACAGGAGACTGGGCACCAATTTAAAAGAATCACATTGAATTTCTGAAATGAAAAGAAAGCCAATTTTCTAAGCCATTCAAGCTACAGGTTTGCATCAGACCCCGCCCTACTGCTCATTGGAAGCTCAGCAGCTTCAGTTGATGGTAAAATTGGCTTTTGCCGAGTCCAGATGAGGGCTCAGCTTGGGGCTGTCATTGTTTTGAGTGGAACACCTGTGGTTCTGCATTTTTCCAGGGCTCCCCTGCTGCTGAGTGCCATCCTGCTTTGGGTATTTTTAGAGCACAGCTTTGTTTTAATTAACAGCATATTGCAAAGGTACTTTGAATCAAACTGGACTTTATGACAATCAATTATTTGATGTAGAGATAAGGCATTTGGGAAGTACGTAGAGCAATTTTGATATAATGTTCAATGAGTCTAATATATTACAAAGGAGGGGGCAATGGGTCCCTTCTCAAGAGATAGATTTGAACCAGGGCTGCATTACTCAAGAGCTAACACTGCATCTGCTCCTAGAACCAGCAAACAGGGGCATCAAAAATAAGAGAAAATATTTTTGAAAACATTGGGTGTTTAACTGTTTTTTAAACATCAGATTTTTAAAAACTATTATATCACTATGGAGAAAATAAGAACTCTGTCAGATTTTCTTGCATTTATGCTACAGCTGGCAGAGTTTGGAAGCAGAGCTGAACCCAGAATTTCTAGAGAGAAACAGCTCCTGGCAGTGATCTGGCAGGTTAATGGTGCTGGGGCATGTCTGGAAACCATACTGGAAGGTTTGGAAGGTGACGAATGGAATTAGAGGGGGAATTAGGGGGGGATATCAAATATCCCATAGAGGGGGATATGAGAAGGGATATAGAATGGAATGTTAGATGGGGAAAGAGCTAACCACCTACACCCCTCACCCAATCCATCCCACGCTCTGTAAGTCATACAGAGGTACAGCCATGAGAAGGAGCACAAAGATCTTCCAGGCACTCAGAGCCTCTGATGGTCTTAATACAACCCTTAATTCTACTGCGTAATAGTCATACTCAAAGCAATCTTGGCAATACTTGGAGCAGAGGGGTAAATCTTTAGGTATTCTGTGCTTCCTGTCTCTCTGCATAGGTGGCGGGCAGCATGGCAGTGGCCCAGCAGACGCCCCAGCCTTGAAAAGGAAAAGGGAAAGGACGTGTGTCCTATCTCCCTCTCTGTGCCCAAGTTTGTAGCATTGACTTGGTGCTTCTAGAGCAGGACCAGACTTAGGTTTCTGTTCTCTCATTAGGCGTCATTTCCTTCAGGGCGATGGCCACTGCAGTCTGAGTTAGGTACCCTCGTGTGGCTCGCTCTCAGCCTACCATGTATCTAAACACAGCCTTTGTCACATCATACTCTCATGGCTTATTGATAGGGCTCTCTTCCTACTCAAGGAGAAGCAGCTCCGTGGGAAAGAGGCCCTATTGATAGCACTCATTAACATATCCTCAATATTCTACAAATGATCAGGCAGCTAAAAGTACTTAAGAAATTCAATGAATACATAAATCCTCGATAAGTGGGTGCTAGGTGAAAAGAAAAAAAAGAATAAATGAATTAATAATGCAATCAGTATAAATATAACTATTGTCCTGACAAATGACATTTTGGTCAGTTTTGTTTATAGATAATCTACTGAGAACATCACACCTCCACTGAAAAAGAAAAGCCGCATTGGATGTGCTGATGGGTCGGTGGAGAGGGAGGATTCTTTTAGGAACAAGCAGTAGGGCCTTAGACTTTTAAAATAATAAGGGAGCTAAGCTAGCAAAGCATTCAAAAAGAGACCAAGATTTCACACACGGAGTAACTGTACCTCAGACACGAGTTCTGAAACACCAAGGCAGGGATACCTCTCTAATGCCGAGACCACATGCCAGATAAAAACAATGAGGACAAATACAAGGTCAATAGAAAAGGTATTGTGGACAATTCCTTCTCGAAACCTAAAGAAAATGAAGTCTCCAGTTCCAAATCCTTTAAAAACAGAAAAATAATTAGTCTATAGAACACTTCTGAGTACTTAGTTTTAGGTATTGCTTCCAGTTTAAAATGCCTAAATTTCTTTGTCATTATTATATTTTAAGGTCAAAATCAGTGATAAACTTTTCTCCACATTCATTAGAAGTAGTTTCTTTTGAAAAGCAATGAGTCCATTAAAAATACAACTTAGAATCACATGAAATATCCAAACACTTATTTTATTTCAGCTTCACCATTGGCTTGCTATTCCAATGTTCATGTTACTCAAATAATGTTATTTTGATTACAACTGAATAGGCATTTTTAAATGTCATGGTATTTGAAAGGAAAAAATGACCTAGCAATCATAATATACCATTGTGTTGTATAAATTGCAAATGTGTAATTTTTGTTACTCTACATTATATAAAGCAAACTGCCAAGTTTTGACATAAATAAATAAAATATAAATGTTCTATGTAATCATCTATTTATTTTTGATGTCTACAGGATTTATCTTGTTAGGTTTAGTTATTTTTATTTTTACATTTTGACCTAGCCTTTCAGAAATGAAATTCTACTTTCCGTTGCCTTATGTATTTTAAGTAGATCCAGGGGTAGAAATATATTTTTCATTAGAAAAAAAGTAAACCTGCAAAAAAAGTACTTTGAAATTAATAAATGCAGTATTTTATCCAGCTTCCCAAAGGACCTGCTCATTGTGTTACTGTTTTAGAATTGCTGAAGATAGTTTATATGAAGACCTGAGATCTTAAATCACATCTTATTAATAAATTATTCCTTTTAAATAATAGACTAAGAGAAAAATAACTCTGTTTCCAAGGATTTGAAACCATATTCCTATCAGTAATATATATTTTAAAAGAGTTGAGGAAGTTGGTCTTTTTTTCTTACTTCTATATCAGATCAATGAGCATATTCGAAGCAATTAATTTTTTTTACCCTGTTTCTCATAAATTTCTCTCTTAATTTTTACTATTTCTCAAGTAACAAACTGTTAAACCAAATTCTTACAAACATTCTTTTTCCTTTGTAGATGTATATTAATATATGACCTTTGGACAGTAAGTCAATTATATACCTGTATAAATACACATGGCTTATAAAATAATTACTTATTCTATGTAATTATGTTTTACTAACTAAAATTTAGTAATTTAGAATTACTAAATCTTCAGACTAACACATTTTTGTTACAAAATTTATATATTTGTGACCTTTCAAAACATATCTACATTGAAAAAAATCATTAAGTCAAAGGAAGAATTTTGGAGATAATGTCACCTCCATTCTGAAAATATTTTATCCAAGTGTTTGAGGAATCATGGGGGAGGGTGCAGCCTCTGTTAAGCTGTGACTATCAGGGTTTTAAATTAAATTCCTAGTTTTTCTACCAATTAGTAATTAATAATTTCCTATCTGATACTCTGTTTTTGAGTTGTAAGTGGAAATAATTAGACTGGATCACTAGATGGCATTTTTTTCTTTATTAGTAAGGGATAATCCAAGAAAAATATCTTTAAATTACATAGTGCCACTTATCATGGGAATAGCCTTTTTTTTATTCCTTAGATAAAATATAAATTCTCAAATAAATTTCTTAGTTTATCAAAAAGTTCCAGTAAATATTTTATCATTTTTCAGCCAATGAATACCTGAGAATTTCAGAAGTTAAATCCAAATCACTTCAAAATTTTTAATCATAACAGTTAAGCAAGAATTAGCTGGACTGAGTGTGGTTTCACCATTTGGAAATGTTCACAAGAATTGGTTCAGTTTAAAGTATCTGCATTACTAAATTTTATAGAGCAAAATATTCCTCTTTTCAAGAGCCACTGTTTGGAGTTTATATTCATATAAAAATATATACTTGTCAGTCATTTCTATAATCCATTATAAAAGTGTTTGCAACTTAATGGTTGGGAGAATTTACTCATATGTAATATTGGGGGCACATGTATTACCTTGAATTATTAATGCCTTCATTTGTTTTTTTCTTCAAAACACCTTCAGGGACCAGAGCTTAGCCACAGCAAATCAAAACTTAATTTGTATAGGTATTCCTCACCAATTATAAGTCTTTGAATAAAACCATATTTATATCCATGTTTTAATATATTAATATGACCATGAGAATGTTCCCATATGAATCAAAAGCTGGCTTATGAGTCAGCATTCATAGAATCTAACACTCACATCTTGCCCTCATGAAATAGACGAACAAGCAGGTTTCTAATAAAAATTCTTCATTTCTTAGGAGTCCTGTTTGTTCCCTTCAGACTCTGAAGCCTCAAAGGCTCATTAAGAACTTTTTTTTTTTTTTTACTTTATTCTCCCTAGTTGGTTTAAGTGAATCTGTTCAAAGCAAACATCTAAAGGCTAGGAAGAATTTTCTTGTCTTTGAGAGCTTGGCATCAGCAAGCACCAGTGAGGGTGATGAAAGAGGAATGCCAGAAGTTTAGGGCAAAAATAAATGAAGGATTGTTGCAGGCTTTTTTCTGTGAAGTTGGAAAAGGAGTTGGCCTTGGAACCAGGCTTATGTAACTCATGCTCAGCTAACAGCACTTTCAGACTCTTTAGTTTTTTGTAACCACTGTTTGCATTACCTTTTTTTTTTTTATATGGTGGGTAAGCTTAGTATAAAGTAAACAATTACCAAGACAACCTCGGCTCCCAGGGGTTCAGTCGCTCTTGATATTGTCACTGGAGGGCAGGCCGCACTCTTTGCCTTTCTTTTGGCCTTCTGCGTCTGAAGGTTGGTAAAGTAGTTGACAGCTGCAAACTCAATAAGAGCAGAGAAGACGAAAGCAAAGCAAACAGCTATAAACCAATCCATGGCAGTTGCATAGGACACTTTTGGCAAGGAGTGTCGGGCACTGATGCTCAAAGTGGTCATGGTTAGAACAGTGGTGATCCCTGAACGGAAAAAGGAATGAGAAGTACAGTATTAACATTTGGGATCAAAAAATGAGCTGAAATGCGAACATGTTGGCAGCGAGGATTAAACACTCTCCAAACGTGAATTTTGTTGTTACCTTATTGTTTTATAGTTGTTCACAATTACTATCATAGGGATTTTCATTTTTGTACCCTTCAATACCTAGTGCAGTTACCTCTACATTGTAGTAATTCAAAACATATTTTTGAATTGTTTTAGGTTAACTATTATAAAATTTAAGTCATGAAAAATTTTAGTTGCTTCTTTAGAAAACTGAAAGCAAATTATCACTAAAGTAATAAAACTTTGAACTTCTGATCATTTGTCATAGCTGATAATATCTTTCATCGTATTTAAGTTTATCAAGTATAATGATAATCATAAAATTAGGTTCCTCAATTTTTTTTTATTTTTCAGCTTGGTTTTAAGGTAAACAAATATTACTAATGAGAAAATAATTTCATCCTTTATCTTCCAGTAGTTTTCTGTCTTGAATTATGATTCGGGGAATTTACATTATTTGAATTTGGCCAACATCATAATATAGGTATTTTTTTATATTTTACAGAAAGGAATCTACTTTAATACAGTAAATTAAAAAGTCAAAATTCATCTGAGATTTCAATTCAATTTAGGTCTTCCTTAGGAACAGTTAAATCCATAATCATGAAAACTCAGAAAAAAATGGATTTAGTTAACGATGATATTTTTCTTTTACATCTTTTTCTTGTTTTGTTTCATCAAAACTTGTAGTGATTCTATACAGCATAGAATACACAATATTTAGGTTGAGCCATGTGATAGTAGTAAGTATTTAACTATTTTTATGTCTAAAAAATAGCATTTTTTGTGGTTCAATGAAATAAAAGTGAAATACAATTTATATGTTAGTGGGTTCAATAACTTAGCCTTTATGTTTATGGATTTACATGTCAGATTTTACTTTTATGCTTTTTCTTGGTTATGAAAAATCAAATCAAGATTTTTTTTAAAAAACCTTATCAAATATTACATATGAAAGTCACAGGAAAGCAGCCAGAATTCTCGCTGAGACAAATTTTTTGTTGATTCATTACACTACTTGCTATATGATACGGGTCATTTTACATGATACATGTGTCTGAATGAGATACAAGTCTATTTCCACTGTGCACCAAAAAGGGCACTGGTGTGAATATTTTCCTAAAATGCCCAAGGCAGGAGAGCTGGAGGATGAATGGAAATGGAGCCCAAAGAGTGAAGCATACCAAAGACAGTTCTGGCGGGGACAGACTCCTTGTTAATCCAGAAAGACACCTGAGAGAGAATGACGGTCATAATGCAAGGTGTGTATATCTGTATCATGAAGTAGCCCATCTTCCTTTGCAAATGGAAATAAACTGTCATTATTACGTATTCACCTGTTGGAAGACACATATATTATTGGTTTTGAGTGTGTTAAAAAATACACAGTTGGGAATAAATATTGCAGGTCTTTGAATTAACATGGGATACAAGAAAATAAGCAAAGGCATATTTTAAAGTATGATAAATACATTGATCAACAGGTGATAGACACATAAGCTTACTGTTTTGTGTGGGGCTCTTTGTGTCATATACATACAAAACCACTCATTCCAAGGGTACACAAATCTTTATGGGCACATGTTGCAAAATCAACTAAGGAAAGTTACTCATCGTTTCAAAACATCAAGCTTATCTGAGAATGGCTAACACAGAGGAAAACAAAATAGATTTATCAAGATGTATACTAGAGTCAGCTTGAAGGATTACATCCATGCAGTGGTCAAATTCTTACCTGTGTTAGATTTAATCGTCTCACTAGATACTGTTTGTCCAATCAGATCATACTGGAGGAGGCTTGAAGATTCTTCTGGAACTTCGACTGAGTAAAGTGGTCCTTTTTTCCATGTGTATATGATTTCACTTTTAGGGTAGGCATCTGAATTTTTTAAACAAATTGAACATAATAGTGACTCTAACTAGTGGTGTGTTTTTTCTTTCAAAATAGTTTTCTATATATGGACATAATATTATGTCCATAATATATGGACATAATATTATGTCCATAATATATGGACGTAAATTTAATGCTTTTCTTTAATCTGGGTGACTAAAGCTCTGAGTGTGACAGATATGATTAAGTAAATAGGTTCTTGGAATCACCCTTTGAATGTCATAGTATTATTTCTCTTTTGCTTTCCAGGCTCTGATTAAAACCAAATAATATATATTTTGAATGCATTATTTGACTCTCAGAAGTGTTTTGTAACTTACAGCTCCCAAACTTGAGTGGGCAAGCATGCCCATCCATAGGAAAGTTTACCAGCTTCATAGGACAGTCAGCGTTGATGGTAAGCCTAGGGCCATTGAAACGAATGGTTCTGAATTAGTATGATGGACAGAGCAGTTGGGCAGAGGACATAGAATTGGGGGAGTCTTACCTCATAGTGTACAGAATGGTTCCATTCTGCATTATTCTGAAGAGTTTATTAGGAGTTGTCATGTTGTGAGCAATTGATTTTTTGCCATTCCTGAAAAAAGTGTCAGGTGTCCAGATTTTGCTGACCATCAAGTTATTCAAACTCAAAATCTCAGCTGGCCCCCCAAACTTCAACCTCTCATCAGTCCACGTCTGGCGGAAGAAAACGTCCATGGTGTACTCCTGTAAGAAAATAAGGTGCTCATGCAGGCTAGGAGGCGGCTTATTAAGAATAGTTTATGCACTGACTTTTCTATGCAATCCTAAAACTTTAAGAAGTAAAGCAACTTTTTAGACAACGTGTTAGGAAAGCCATGGTTTCAGTGAATTGTTATTTATCTTAACCTAAAAGTTTGTATTATTGTAAAAGATAAGGCTGTGTTATGCAAACTTTCCTCCTTAACCTTGACGGTCCTTCACATATGTTTGTCAGCCATCTCTCCATCTATCAACCTATCAGTTCCCCAGTCCTTAATTTAGAAGAAAGATACTAAAATATCGACAGTCTAGGTTTTGTGCTGTCCTTACCATCAGTTAGTCTGACCATTCCCTTAGCAAGTTGTTCACCGTCAGAGGTGTCTCCAGGCATCATGGCACCGTGGAGTAAAGTTCAAGGATGAACTTTACCAGGTGAGCCTACTTGGGCTGCATGTCGTCATTTTATACTGTCCTCAGAGAACATTAAAGCAAATGTTACCATGAATACTCAAAACGAGCATCATTCAAGTGTGCATCATAATAATCATGAGTTTTAGTTTGTGGCTTTTACAAAATAACATTAAAAATATTAAGAATTATGATAAGGTTCATTGCAAAAGTCAGTGATAAATATCTACATAATTATATAAAAATATTGCCAATAATTGCTTTACCTACTTTACATGTTCTTTTATGAGATCTATTCCTATAAGTGGTGATTATATTTTTAAAATATAATTTGACACAATATGTTAATAATTATCTAGGCAATAGCAAGTCTCTGTTGTACACATAAAAAAGAGACAAACTCCTAAGTTCCAAGTATTCCCAGATTTCAAATGATACTGTAGAACATGGTTGTAGTTATTTATACTTGGGTGACTCAGTACTCAGATGACAAATATGATAGTAAAATAACTGAAGATTCTGGTTAATGAAAAGTCTTAAGACATTTATTTCTTAAAGTCCTCCTCCCCGTCTCCTCTTCTTTTTTTATTTTTCCTCTTTCTCTTCCTCTTTTATGTCTTCCTTTTCTCTCTTTTTTCTTACTTTATTCTTGTCAACTCAAAGAGCAGACCATGAAAAAGTCTCTAATAACTTTTTATCCAAAATTACATTTCCCTAATAAAATGTAATGAAGCATTTCTTTAAAAAGTTATGTTTATTTCAGTTTCGGTATTTACATTTTACCTTTAGGGGAAAATGCTACCTAAGAACCATGAAAGCATATTGTAATATACTTTGTTCTAGAAGACTAGTTCAGGTTTTCATCACCATTTGCTATAAATATCCTTTTATGAATCCTACAGCCATCTGTACCTGGAGCAAAGTCCCCAGAACACCTACTGGTCTATTCACAACATAGAAGAGGGAATGCATTAGCCTTTCCAAATGACTCCCTTTACTCTTTTAATTAAATATACTGAAAATGATGTACTACCAAAAAAATTCTATGTCTTAAGTTTCATAGATACTCTCAATATACTCTTACATGGTTACATTTGTTGGTTTTTTTGTTTTGCTACTTCAGACATTTAACTATGACTTCATAAAGATGAGAAAAATGTTTTCTTTGTAGAGAAGAATCAGTGCATGATATGTGGACAGAAGAGAGGATATTGTCTCATAAAATCCCTCAGATTAAGGTGTCCAGCAGAGCCCTCGGTGAAGGAGATCAAGCAGTAACCTGCTCTAAGGGCCAAGCACTCCCAGCATGGGTTTCCACGCCGCGCTGCGGTGCTTGGCGACAATGCCCATCGTCATTAGTCCTGGGACATGGGCCTCTCCCCCCTGAGTAAAGTTACCCTCTTCACTCACCATCTCCACGTCTGACACGGGCCCAAAACTGGTCACGTAGATGTCTGTTTTGACTTCAGTGACAGCACCTGAAATTAGCCCAGCAGGATGGGGGCAGTTATCCCCAGTGACATTGAAGGAACTGAACTTACTGACTCACAAGAAAGCCCCTTCTCATGACCAAAATCTGCAACCCATCCTGAAGTAATCCCAGTAGTGGGGTCCTTGAGTTTTTCACCTCTGAAAATTCACACGGTTGCCTTATTTTGAATTTAATATGGTCGATGTGGGGAATTAAGGAAAAGAAGAGAACTAGGTTAGTACTCTAATGAGAATTATAACAGTTACTCACATATAGATGACTTTAATGGGACAAATGCTAAAAAAATTCTTCTACATGGAGAATCTAATTCAACACTCATACAACCCTATGAGACGAGCACTGTTCATGCACTCCCAGTGCAGTTGAGGAAACTGAGGCTCAGAGAGTTCAAATAACTCGCATATAAGGTTGCTCATTGAGAAGGGGCAGAGACTGGATGGGAATACCCAGGTGGCCTCTCTCAAGGCCCCCAACACTTCCCCACTCAGTCACCCTTCTGAGGCCTCTGGGCCTTGTGATGGCAGTAGGGGAAGGAGAATGAAGATGCTTTGTCTACTGAAGGGGATTGTCTCTCACCTCCAAATCCTGGCCGGAGTCGATTGTCATAGCCTTCAAGCAAGTTGTCCAGGATCCGACTGACGTTCTCTGAGTAGAAGTTTCCATCATCTTCAGGTTTCCCTAGGGCATTCTCTACCCTGCAAGGAGACAGTCAGCCATCCTCACTCCCAGCCTCAGGGAAAGGTGCTGTTCAGTCCCCTAGTCTTCCCCACCACAGCAACATGCCGTGTCACCCAGGCTTCTTCATGATTTGGTATGGAAGTCACCCAGTGGGTGTGTGCTTTCCCTTTCCTGTGAACTAAAGAGAAAAAGATGAGGAAAAAATCTTACCACAAAATGATGTACAGCCAGGGCAGCGGTGATGCCATTCTGCAGTGCGCTGGAATGCCCACTCCGTCTTCCTCCTGGCTGTTCCTCCCCACTAACCAGCTCCCCTTTGCCAGTCAACTAGAGCAGCCTCCTGGACCCCTCATATCCCTCTTCCTTCTTTGCATCCAGCCAGTAATCCACTAGATGATGAGGTTGCCAAGAAAATTTTGAGGGTCCGCCTTGCTCTCTTTGTACTTGTTTTCGTCTTTTCATGTGGAACACAGTGGCTCATGTCCTTAGACTATGTCCTGGTGGACACTCAGCCTCCTCTGACTGCCTCATTCGGGAAATGAGAGTCAGAAGGCACAGTGCATGGTTGGAGAGCAGTGACAATAATTGAATAAGGCATTAGGGGAGATTAGGAGGAAGAAATCCACTGCTAGTTTTGGCATGGAATTTGCAGAGCCCTGTGAGAAAATCTGGAAAGCAGTGGCATCTTGCTGATTGAGATTATGTTCCAATGGGCTTAGCATTTATTATTTCTGTGGTTCACAGAAGGATTCCTATACAGCTCTTACTGCTTAAAAAGTCTAATGGTATTGGGATCCTCTTGGGTTCTCTTTCTGATTTCATCAGCTTTCTTGCATCAGACGTACCTTTCCTATGCATTTAAAAATTGCCCCTAATTATTCATGGAAAGAACTTTTAACACTGCCAAACAGCTCCTGGCCATCTTGCTATTGGGTTGATGTTTTCTTCAAGTACTTTGCTGATCCTCTGTGTCAAAGGTGTGTCATCTCCAGCTAAGATGCATAAATGGATCTAGAAACTTGGCCAGTTTCATGAATGCTGCCTATGAGAAGCAATGTCTGGAAGTAGCTGATGAAGATTCACCATGTAGAAATGGTGTAAGAATAAGGCTTTTGAAGACATGGTTAGTGATGATGATGTTGGTACTGTCTTATTAGGCTTGCTGCAGGTTGAAAGTAAAATGTTGGAACCCAAGAAATAACATTCTCCACCCAGTCTGGTAGGAACAAGATGGAGTAAAAGAAGTATCTTTAAACATTAAAATGTTAGTCTTTAAATTCAAAATGAAACACAGTAAAGCATTATATATTATATATTAATTATTATACATTAATATGTGTAAATTCATAAACATAAGAACAAGAAGCAAATGTCCCACTCTACCATCTTCCTGCCAAGTCAAATCCACTCACGCTCCACCCAATTCGCCCAATCTGGTACCTTAAAAACCTGCATTCTACAACAGTGTCGGTAACTCTTGCAGACATATAACACAATCTTATGAGTCATTTGTGGAGATATGATGTAAGTCATTTGAGGAGCATTTCGAGAGATTATAGCCAAGAAGAGGCAATGGAAACAGGAAGAATGCAAGATTTCCTATGAAATAGTTTTTTCATTAAATTTATTGAGGTGGCATTGGTTAATAAGATTATATAGGTTTCAAATGTACATTCTGTGATGAATGGTTTGTACATTGCATTGTGTACCCACCATACAAAGTCACATCGTCTGCTGTCATATTTGGCCCCTTTACCCCTTACTACATCCTCCACCCTCTTCCCTCCAATAGCCACCGTACTGTCGTCCATGTCTGTGAGTTTCAGCTTTATATTTCACATGTGAGTGAAATCATATCATTCTTAGCTTTTTCGGATTGTTTTGCTTAGCGTGACATTCTCAAGGTCCATCCATGTTGTCACAAATGGAGTATTTCACTTTTTTTAATTTTTTATTGTATTTTTTTCCATTACTAGTTACCCCTCTTACACCCCCTCCCCTCGCAATCACCGCCCCGTTGTAGATGGCCATGAGTTCTTTCTCCTTTTTGCTCAAGCCCTCTACCCGCAAACCACCACCCCCAGCGCTGTCAGCCTGTTCTTTATCTGTGAGTCTGTCTCTATTTTGCTTGTTAGTTCAGCTTGTTCGTTGGATTCCACATGTGAGTGAAATCATATGGTGTTTGTCTTTCTCTGACTTTTTTTTTCCAGTTAGCATAATGTTCTCCAGGTCTATCTATCCATGCTGTTGCAAAGAGTAAATTTTTCTTCTTTTTTATGGCTGAACTATGGTATTCCATAGTATATATGTAACACATCATCTTTATCCTGTCCTCTATTGAAGGATGCCTTGGTGGTTTCCATGTCTTGCCAACCATGAATAATGCTACAGTGGACATAGAGGTGCATATATCTTTGTGAATAAATGTTTTAAATCAGAAAACATAAATTTAGGTGTGATAAAAAAGTGACATCTAAAAGAACACAGGTATATGAATTCATGGTTTATACCCGTTCAACCAGTATCAGTTCAATGTAACCTTTATTTCTTATGTGCTTCTCGTGTGCTGAGAATATAAGACTTTCTCGAAAATAACGCACTCTCAGGAAGCTCACATTCCAGGTATTCATAATCAGCACAATAGAACTAACAAGAGACTGAATGCTAAAGATAGGGTTTATTACCTATGCGCTATGGAACCAGAATGAAGAGGCAATTGTGCAGGGAGGGGGAATCAGTGATTATGTCATGAAAAAGATGACACTAGGACTGAGCTTCAAGAACCGAATAAACTTCGAGTGGATTAGAAAAGGCCATTCCAGGTTGCATGGTGAGCTCAGAGACATGGCAATTCACATTGTTTTTATGAACAACGAATAACTCCCAAGAAACTAGAATATAGGAAACAAAGAGAAATGTAACGAACAAAGGACTGGAAGAGAAACCTGACACCAAGGGAGGGAGACTTGCGTGCTTCTCTCAAGAGACTGAGAAAAAGCATGAGTATCTGTAGTGGACCAGGTGGGGTTTTCTAAACTGCTAGTAAGAGCACCTTTTTCTATGAGAATTGCCCTACTATTTTATGGAGTAGGGTCTTGTTTGTCATGTTTGTACTACTTGATTCCACGTCAACCCTCTGTTGATTAGAACACTTTGCAATCAAGTAACTTAGGTTCACTAGCAGGCAAGTTACTTAGGCAAATTATTTACTATCTCTGGGCATCATCTTCATCACCTATAAAATGGGATTATGGGGTCTTCATGAGGATTAAATTAAAAAGTGCATGAAGGTATTTATTATAGGGCATTTCCCATAATAAACGAGAATTAAAACCATCCATCAGCACCATTACCACTGTAATCACCGTTCTCATTGTTGTCATCATCATTTTGGCCAAATCAAATCTTTTCCCTCCAGCATTTAGAAATGGAGTAAAAAAATAGAGTTGGTCTGTGTCACTAAGGCTGACAGTGTTGGAAGGGCCTGTTTGGCCACATTCCTGCAACCTGGCAAATAGCTATTGACAGAGAAGAAAACAGATAGCAGCAGTCATACAGAAAGAAGCAGAGACATGTCATTGAAATCAAAAACAAACAAACAAATACCCTGAGCTAACAGCTGGCTTTATTGCTGACAACCACCCAGATTTCATTCCTTCATAATCTAGGTGTCATTTCTGTCCTGCAGTTCCTCCTGAAAGCACTGAATCCTTATCACCAGGTAAGTGGGTTAGTGTCATGAGCTCCCAGAAGGAGTCATTTAATTCAGAAGACTGTATCCCTAACTTGAAATAAAAATTTCAGGTTATGGAGATACAGTGTAATGCTTGGATGGACTGTGTGACTCACCAGAGGGCAAACCTAGGCGAGGTGGAATCTTGAGTGTATTTCCTGGGCTTTCTGGAAAAGAATGTGTTAATTGGCATCTGCTTGATCTTGCTGTGTAATGCATCTCTCACGCCTCCATTGAATGGAGAGCATTTTAGTAGACTGCAAGAACTCTTTCAGGCCACTAGGTGACTACTGAGCATCATCTTCTGGTGCTACCCATGCCCCAGAATCTGCCTATTTATCAGGTGCTTGGAGGACAGGCGAGAGGACAGAATTTTGGGTTCAAGCCCAGTAATGAGCTCTGGGGAAATGTTGTAGAAGAGCAAGCAGATTGGAAGTCTATTAACATGGATTCTGTTGGACTTGGATAAGATGTAAATTCCAAACCTACTGCCATGTAAAGATATATTTTCAAAGCAAGTGATAAAAATAAACACTTGAAACTGCCGTGACAAGGTCGGAGGCCTTCTTCAGAATAAAGGTATCCTTCATGTTCTCATATTACATGACTTAATGTTTCCTCAGTATAAAATATAAGTGGGTTGTTAATTATATAAAAGTGATTTAACCTGAGAAAGAAAAAATAAATAATGGTGGAGGGATCTCTAGAGCAGAGGCTAATAGGTGTTTGATGCATAATTTGGAGCTAATGACTCATCAGTGACTAATGATGTTGAACAAAAAGTGAACAATCGGCCTCTCCCAAAAAACTGGTAAAAGCTCTCTAACAAAACCTGACCATTAAAGAAACAAATTAATTATTTAAAATAGACTTTTAGCAGGCTTTTGAGAGAGCATGCTAGGAGTCCAGTGCCTTGAGATGTCAGGATTAAAAGAGCTGCATAGCCCCTCACTGTTTTGCTCTGCTTGTGTGGTTATTACGGAACTCTATCAGTGAGGAGTGTTGGATGTCAAACTAGAAAGCCCCGCTTGCAGTGGCATAAACAAAAAGGCTTATTTTTCTTACCGTACAGAAAGGTGGGCAGGCCCTGCCCTTAGCAGCTAAGCCACAGCAGAGCTGCCAGGGCTGAATTTCATGTTGCCTGCCTTTGTGGATGCAGTGCGGCTACCTCAGTTTCAGTCATCACATCTGTGTGCAACAGAGACAGTCAAAGACCTGAGTCCCGTGGCTGTCTCTAGCTGCGGAGGAGGTCACAAAGTTGTGAGATACTCCTTTCTGAATGAGGAAGTGAATATATAAAGGTAAATGTTCAGGTGAATCCTACAAACACCTTTTGACACTTGCTATAGTAATCTAGGAAATTGGGCTGCTTTCGATAGCAGGGAATCTTCCTGTTGAGCTTTTTCATCCTCTTTAGTGTAGGGGGCCAAGGGATTGAGGGTTAGGAATGAATGGTAGATCGGCCACCTGGGGGCCTGTCCCAGGCGGGGAAGCCCCCCAGGTGGTTTCATTACTATG